TTGGTGACACCTGACCCTGTGAAGACAGTGTCTTCCAATTCTTTCCCATCAAAGCTTCTCACAGGTGGTGCCAGTCACAGCCACGGCAGCAGGACCAAGGCAGATAGGAGAAGAGGGCAAGTCATCCCCAGGTAAACATCTTATCCCTTGCTCTGCCCTGGAGCATGAGGATGCCTGTTCTCTGCAGCTGCTGGTACAGAAAGAACGAGCAGACCATGAGATCTGGGGAGGGTAATCCCTCCTTTCTCAGGCTCCCTCAGCCAAGATGGACTAGAGGCCACATGCAGCTCCTCACTGCTCCCCTTCTGCATTCTCAAGGGGATGGATTTTTCCAATCTTTCTTTCCATCCTCATTAAAAGAGAATTATGGCTTCCAAGGAAAGCCATGCTGTCTGAATTCAGTTCACTGACTACTGCAATCCAGTTTGCAGGTGTGAATCCAGGTCAGCAGGATCTTTGAGGAAAAGTTCATATCTTTGATGTAACATCCACAGGCAGCAGATTTAAATTGTGCTGACTGTCAGAAGAGGAAGTAGAGGACCTTGCTCCACCAGAACACAGACAACTTGGCAAGGATTGTGGCTCTACTTACAGTAGGTCAGGCACAACTGGAAGATGGACCATCAAGTTTTAGTGAGGAGACCCATCTCCATTTTTTTTTCAACAGCAATAGGGACTGGATGACCCAGGTTTACTTTCCCTCCCCAGACAATGAAGACAAATGAACACAGAACAGATTTGATACAAAAAGGCACTGTAATATGCTGCATTTAATTTATTAAAGGGTGAGGGTAAGTAAGATTAAAAAAGAGTAGTAACTTTGTTGTTTTGGGTTTCTCTCCCTCGAAAGATAAGTTACATCTTTAAGAAAATAAACCAAACCCCTCCACAGTCCAGTTACATCTTACATACAGGTGGCACACAGCCACTGGAATTTATATGACTGCTGCCAAAAGGTAATTTGAAGATGTATTTTTAGTTTATTCAAGAAGAATATCAGACATATTAACAGCAAAAAAGTTTTATTATTACCGCTGATCTGTGAGCAACTGCATGCTGAAGTCTGTAACGCGAGCTTAACACCCAAGATCAGAGCAGAGGCAACAAAACTGCCCTTTTCAGGACACCATATATTACTTTTAAGGGTCTTTAAGTTCATGTGACTATGGCCCCACATATCTTCCACAGCATAAGTTCCTTAAGAGTTTAGAATATGTCTAGGTATTTTCCACCACAAGGACTCTCTCCTCACATATATTTTATTACATAAAAATGAATGTGTTATGACAGATCAGAACAAAAAAAGACAGTGGGAACAAAGGCTCTCCATACAGCAGATTAAAAAAAAAATCCATGATTTGAAGCAAACACACAATATGTACAGTAACAAGTTACAAACAAAACAACAGATTAAAAAAATTAGCAAGAGCAAAGACCTGTTTTATATGGGAATCCCAAAAGCTAGAATACAGCAATTTCCATGGACACACAGGTAAGTTTTGAGAGAAGACATTAGAGTCTGGGAGGACTGAAGGTCCTACCTAAATTAAGCTCTGCATGGGACTTTTCTCAAGAAGACCAAGTAGCACAAGGATTTGGGAGCAACCATCATCCACCATTAGTAGTTCAAGACTACAAAAAGTACCTAGGCAGGTGACTGACTCAATGCAGAGTAACTGGTTAGAGTTAATGCCAAGAACAACAGAACCATGATCCTCACAAAAAAAAAAAAAAAAACACAAAAACCAAAACACAAAACAAAAAAATCCAAAAACCAACGGACCAAAAAAAACCCCCCAAAACAACAACAACAACAAAAAAACCCAAACCAAACAAAAAAAACCAACAAAAAACAAAAAAACCCCAAAAACCTAAGGCAGCCATCTCATATCTAATAAAAACATACGCAAAGAGAACGGCATAAATATATTTCAAAATTCTTCAAAAAATACAAAGCCAGAAAGTAACAGATAATTACTCCTGCTCATGTCAAAAATACTAAGGACAGAGAATAGCTAAAATGAATTTTAGCTTCCCTTTCTCTTCCTTTGCTATTTTGAGGTACACAGATAAATGTTTTCTCAGCTACTTTCTCAGAAGAAATATGTTAAACTCTTTACAATGGTTAAGATTATTTTGCCAAATAGTTCAGATATAAAATGAATAGAAAGCAGGAGCATCTACAAGTCTTTTTGGCTAAAGAAAGCACTACTTACATTGTGGAATTTTTTCTCTTCATTCCTCAGACCAGAAAAAGAACATTTTTCTTAAGAATTCAGAAGAAATGAGGTGTGACAAGTGCACATGAATATCACATTTACTATAATTACAGAAGTATTCTGTATTATTGTCTATAACACAGTGAACATTCTTTTCAAACACAGTAGAACAATTATCAAGTAAAAATAGTTTAAAATCCCTTTGTTACCTCAATTTTTGCCAATCCAAAGGCAGGACTATAACTTGAAACCAATAACTGAGTCAATTTTTTACTCTCCTTACTGCATTAAGCTGACTATAAGCACTGGAAAAATACTTCAGATGGTCATGTAACATAGGTACTGACTGATGCCTAAAGTTTCAGCTTTTGTATTTTCCCGATTTTGTATTGCATTTGTATATAACTCTGAATTTCATATAAAGTGTTACCAAGTTCTCCCAGTTCAGTTAGACAAAACAATCCTTTTCCAGCCCAAGAACCAAGGATACCATTGCAGGTCCAAAAAGTATAAACAATGGTGAATTGAGAAGAGCAGTCTGGGAAGATGGGACTTCATAACCTGAAGCTGTAGTTAGACAATTAACCCCAATATTAAATGGACCAAAACTTATCAAACTGTGAAAACTTGTGATGCATCATCCATCTTGGGTGGAGCCATGGCCTTGCTCTTGTACTGCCCAAGGTGTATCCTTTGAAGGCCTTTCAACAAATATCTACTTTATTCCTTCAACATGGTCTAGCCTCTGTTCCAGAAAGCCTCTCAAGGCATCATGACAAATACCTACACCTCATTTCACATCTCCCTGCAGTGCCACCTTTTCTTGCACGGGTCTTCTGGAAAAAGGTGCTCAGAGAAGCAGCAAAGAGGTGGATGCATTATTTCTGTGCAACCTGCTAAAGCCCACATAGTGAAGAGCCTATTGCAGGGAAAAATCCAAAACCAGAAAAAAGACAGAAAGGAAGGCTTCATTGATTTATCTTCATGCTTTAAAATTATAACCAGGAAGTGTTAAAAGATTACTTTAATGAGGTTTTCCTTCACACTCTCTCATCCTTCCAACCTCAGTTGTATCCTGCATATTATAGTGCAACTTGGCTGGATTTTCCACTTGAAATGGCAACACAGAATGCCAACTTAGTTAAAGGTCTGTTAGGCTTTGCCAGTTGCTTGAAAAGACAGTAATCTCTTTTCTCTATTTCTTTAAAAGTTTTGGGCTTTTAGATTTTCCACCTCAATATGGAAGGCAGAAGAGGGCAGAGGAGAAAAGGATAGAGAACAGTGTATTCTTCTTTGTTGTGAGAAGGCTTTAAGCAACAACTGAGATGGGGAGGACTACAAAAACAGCTGTTATTAATTCCTGGCATCTTGCATCTTAAGAAAAAGTAAAACATTTCTGCCATAAAAACTCAACAGAGCAAGTTTACATTATATCAACTCAGATTACAAAGACTACATATGTGCAGATACCCATTTAAAAATGGAATTGTTGAAAAAGTGAAACAAATCAAGCTATTTCACAACAGTTCTTTTTCCTTCCCAAAAAAAAAAAAAAAAAAAAATCTAGTTCTTCTCATTAGGAAGGACTGTAAAGGTAGCAGAGCTATCTGATCAGACTAAAGCCAAAAGCAGCTAAACTCTACAATTTATACCATCTCCTAGTGGTAAGAAATAATCTGAATGTTTTAATGTATTTAAAATTCACTTGAACAAATCTCAGCATAGATAGTAAATAGAGTTATGAAAATTCTTAGATATGTGCAAGGAATTAACTTGAAAAATATTCACAGGTAAACCTCAGATGCTGGATTCCTTTGGTCTGTAAAAGGTAATACTGCCTGACAATGAATTATTTGCTTGTGTGTCTCATTGTGAGTAAAGCTCCATCATAAGTGATTTGGGATAAATGCTCCTGAGAACATTATATAGCATTTTCTGTCAGAAGAAAGACCAGAAAAGTCTTGGCACCAGGAGAATGAAAAGGAAACTGAGACAACTCATGGACAAATCCTTGCAGAGACCATAAAATCATCCTCAGTGGTGTAAGTTACTTTGCACCATAGACAAACACTTGCAGTCTGGAGATCCAGCCTTCTGTGTTCCTAAGACAACTCTTTTAAGAGTGATGTACTCAATGATAGAAATATAAGCAGACACAGCAGTGAAAAACTACTTTAAGAAGTCTGGTAAAGTAGATTGAAAATTTTCAGCTATCACAACTGCAGTCATATAGCTTCTGTATATATTGTCCATACAATGGAAATTGTATTTAACACTGTTCTGTGAATATAAGCACTGTTAACCATAGTAGCTTTCTTGAGACAAACACTCTGACACTGTTTTCCCCATTACATCATGGCTACCTACCTTCTGGTACCTTTTGCTATCAGCACAATTAAGGAGTAAAAAAAAGAATCTCTCTCAAAGAACAACCTTTTTCATCCACAGAGCTAAAAGTGATGTTCCTGGAACATTTCCTTCTGGGCACTCTTTATTCACACAAAGGGAAAAAACCAAAAAGCCACCCTTCACCATATATTACAGCAAGCAATTTAATGATCTGAGGAAAGAAAAAAAGCAGCAACTTTCACAGACTACACTCACTGTACGTGGTAAACCGTCATTTTCAAGGCACCAGATGCGCAATAAAGGAGAAAGGGTAAAGGAAACAAAAAACATTTGGTTATTTCTTGCCAGGTGAGTATCAAAAAAGCTGTGCAATTTGCAGAAGTTATTTCTCAAGTAGAACAGTTACTCCAAGATGCAGTATCTATCACCTACCTTGTAGAAGGGCTCCGTTTCTCTTGAAAAAGGTGCTTCCTGGCCAAATGGGTGGACCTGATGTGCTAAAGGGAATAAGAAACAAGTGTAAAGAAAATCACATTTGCATTAGAAGTTGCAATTATAAGTTACTATTTGCATGAATTCTGTTCTGCTCTTAAAGCTAATGTAACATCATGACACTTTTGCCTTCAAGAGAGGATCTAATATTTCATGTTAAAAATAGGTTAATTTGATTCAAGATCGACATTTTCTTCACGAGAAAAAATCTCCTCAGCAGAGCACACACCCACAACCTCTTGGAGGAAAAGGGAAAAAAGCAATTTTGAATAAATAATAGAAAACCTCAAATCAATGTCAAAATTATTTACTGAATTCTCGGTACGGAAAAATACATGCCCTTCTCCAGAGATACCTGCTAACAATTCAAATGTTTCACTCAGCTGTGACAACATGCTGCCCCAGCTGTTTGTCTGCGCAGGACGGACCCCAGGCAGCTCCCGTGCCTCACCCACGGAGCCCCCGCAGGCACAGCCCCTCACAGCAGCAGGAACAGCTCGACACATCGTCCCCAGCACCAGTGACACATCTCAGCCCTTGCCCTGTGCTTGGTGACCACGGCAGCTCCTGTGAGACCCCGCCAGGGCAGTGGCCACAGGGCCCAGCGGGTGCCTGGCAGTGTCACTGCTGCCTGAACCAAGGCCCTGCCCTGAACTCACACAGGGCCAGGCCCCTCTTCTGCTTCTGAGACAACTCATGGACAAATCCTTGCAGAGACCATAAAATCATCCTCAGTGATGTAAGTTACTTTGCACCATAGACGAACACTCACAGTCTGGGGATACAGCCTTCTGTGCTCCTAAGACAACTCTTTTAAGAGTGATGTACTCAATGGCTGACATATAAGCAGACACAGCAGTGAAAAACTACTTTAAGAAGTCTGGTAAAGTAGACTGAAAAATTTCAGGTATCACAACTGCAGTCATATAGCTTCTGTATATATTGTCCATACAATGGAAATTGTATTTAACACTGTTCTGTGCATATAAGTACAACTATTCTGCAGATAGTCTTGTGCTAATATATAAAAAATTCACTGTGTTAAAATAAGGACTGTTTATACATCCAAATCAATTACATGAGTAATAAAAACCTTCAATACTCCTTAACAAAAGGGGGAATTGAGAGAGAGAAAGAAAACAGAATGACCAAAAAGAAGTTAAGTAGGTCTACATTTTAAGTGCTGGAGAGCACGGGGCACACACTTGTCTGAACACACGCTCACTTCATAGTGCTTAAGCAACCAATTGTTTGCATTCCTTGTAGTAAGCACCCGCTCTTCAGTGTAGCTCCTCAACTCACAGGAAGGTCAAGAGCTGTTGAGGGCATTCACACTCCTGTGGGATTCACTCCTGTCACAAATGTTACGGTGTATCAGAGTCCTGCATAATCTCTGGAACAGGACCCATCAGGCTACAAATAGAAAGCCATAGCATTGTCTTGATACTGTAAAGATTTACCAATCAGAAATCACAGTATGGCAACTACATGCCTTTCAAAAGTCCAAGAGAAAAAAAAAAAAAAGAGTGAAATTCTGAAATGACACTGCAAAAGAAATTCACTCCCAGGCTGTCATAAGTGGGTTGGAAGAGGGTTAAAGAAAGGAGTGGGAAAAGTGTATGTATTTGAATAGACAAAATGTCTCCACTAGAGAAACAAAGCCATAGTGATTTTTTTTTTCCAATTTGAAAAAAGGCCCAGGGTTCTCATAAAAATCTCCATCTGACTGAGCACAAACCCACATGAGCTAAGAAAATTAACCGAGTCTTCCCACAGAAGGAAGCCAAAGAGTTAAAGCACGTACATAATGTACTGCAGCAACTGTCAAGCCTTATGAAACAACAAACTTTTGTGTTTGCATGGCTTTGTAGAAGTTTACCTATGTCTGAACTGCATTGGGTAATTTTTTTTTTGTTCCCAAACTTTTGTATGTGAAGTCTCAGAGGGTATTAATAATTAAAACATATTTCAAGTTGACAAATGATAGAGCTGAACTATCACTTTAAAGTGTTCAAAAGCTGCTTCCCCTCTGTTCCATATTAAGAAACCATTTGAAGAAGTTCACTCTTCTAAAGACCCAATCAATAAAAACCCAAATAACTTGGTCCATCTCAGGCTTTTTTTCAAACAAGTTGTTTCTTCAGTGTAGCCTGTAAGCTACAAGAGAAGAATGGCCATGTCTCCTACAGAAGTAACAGCATATTCTGCATTTAGGCAAAATAAAAATGCAAAATCTGGGTCTATGATTTTCTTTCATAATCAATACCGGATATAAAATTAATATTTATTCCATTAGAATTATTGGTGGAAGGGTTTTCCCCCAAATTGACCAACTAAACACACTGACTAAAGTAATATCTCTTAGAAGAAAAGCAGTAAGTAGTCTGAACTCTTATATCACTATGAAGAAACTTGGGGCCTAATACATCTTTGTTTTGGACATGTTTGGACTGGCCTAACTCTGAGAAGCAGATGAGCACAGGGCACTTTCAGAAGTGGGTGGAAGATGGACCTTGATTAACCATAGTAAGCTGAGATTTCAAGCAAACATCATGAAAGAACAATTCAGACAACACGTGAAACATGAACAGTTACCTGCCAAGGACCACAGGTTTGATTTTCAGAAAATACTATTGTTTGAAGCCAACAGGATATCCAGGCTGCAACAGTATTTGCAGTAAATGCATAAAACAGGATCCAGGGGTACAAGTCCAGAGGCATCCAGTGCACAATCCACCTCCCTCCACAGCACAGTCATTGGCACTATGGCATCTGTGCACCACCACAGGGAGCAAATGAAGTATTCACTTCAGAATTCAGCCTGCTGAACCTGTATCTGAGAGAACTGATGGAGGATGGTGTTTAACCCCTGAAGACTTGGGAGCCACCTCTGATCAAAGCCCACCATTCCCATGGATGTGCCTGCAATTTTTAATGGCAAATGGGACTTGATTTCCACTCAGGGCAAGAATGAACTGTTCTTTCTCTGAAGACACAATCAGCAGGAAACTTTGTTGTGCCACTGGGCCCCAGGCATGGGAAGCTTCTTGACTTCAGGGATTTTTCTGAGGAAAGGCTTTCCATAGGAAAATGTTGCTTTGCTGAAATCTAAAACATTCAAGAGGAACGTGTTGATTTGAATACTGTTTCTGCTGGAAACCAGGCCAATATGAAGACTGTCCAGCCAGTAAGGGTTCATGGCAGGTGGCCAGCCCAACCCAGAGCTCCCAGGGCATACAGAAGCAATAATGTGTGTGAGCACCCAGATTAGTTATTTCTATCAAATGTATGGTGGACTTTGATAAAAATCTTCAAAAGGTGCATAGGCTTCAAGAAACTTTAAAAAAGGAAACATAAATCCATTGTCTTCTGGAATTCACATTAGAGCAAGGAGACTACAGTCTCGAAGCCAAGCACTAAAAAAAGCAAGAGCAAGAATTCTCTAGCACAGTTGCAGTATTTCCCAACTATGCCAAAAGCTCTCACAGGCCTCTTTGTCAGAGAGGCTTGATTAATAGATTTAAAGAACCCAAACAACTAAAAATTCAAACCAAATTCAATTGTGTGGCACGACACACCACAATTAAGGGATTATGAAAACACAGAAGCCAGGCAATAAATACAGGCCAATGACTGTGTTACCAAATACATCTACTGAGTGATGGTAAAGCAGGAAGACACAGAAAGAGGGGAGAGCAAACATACAGGCCAACACACCAGCCCCTGAACACACATTTCAAAAGCCTTTGAAGCTGATATTTATTAGCCCAATGAAGGACAGCTCATTGGAGAGGAAGGGAAAGTGCTCCACACACACACCTTAGCCCACCATGGCCAAGAGGAGGTGGAATTAGCTAATTCCTGGCTTTCAGGAAAGCCTGGACTACAGGGCAGGACAGCTCAGTAAAGGACAGAAATATAAACAGTGTCAGCTGCAAGCTAACAAGCTGTGGCACTCAAAATACCCAACACAGTTGCAGTAAGCAAACAGCTGCTAGACCACGAACAGGCAGCAAGAAACAGAGGAGGTCCTTTCCAGCCCTCACCAGTTGCAAAAACGATGGGAACAAGAAAAGATGATTGATCTGCTTCTACAGCTCAACCCAATACACTGCAACTACCCCTCTTTGCCCTGAGGGCAATACCAGCTCTGAGGACAGCTATGTAATTGAAAAGTTCTGGGAACAGAAGCTGCCACTATCAGCTGAAGGAAAAGAAGGCACTGCTGTACCCACGCTCTAAGTATTCCATTACCAACCATCCACAGTGCAAAATGCTTCTCTTCAAAGTCTGACCAACACCTCTGACAAAGACTGAACTGAAGGAAATGTCAAGAACACCACAACTAGAAGCAAGAAATCATTTTGTCAAAGAGCAGCCAATGAAGCATCTTGCAGGCTTAGAAACTCATCTCCAAAAGTTTCTGAGAAGCAACTAAATCACAGTTAGTCAGTGTCTTATGTTCAAGTTGCTGATAACAATAGTTGTAGATGCCTTATCTGGATGGAACCCATTAAACCTTGTATCTGGAGGCAGCAGGGAATGATGCTTTTGACAAGCCCAACCAGCTCCCAATGCCAGCAGGGCGCAGACTGTGACTCTAAGGTATATAAATGGTTGCCCAACTAAGCTGGAATGGCTTTTACCATTACTTGAGAATTAATTTAGGATGCTGCTGTAACTGAGGAAAAAAGGTTAAGTATGTTTTTGTGGGAATACAGCATTCCTTGATGCTGGAAGATGAACAGTATTTCCTTATGGCAATCACCCTGTGTAAGGCATGGGAAATGTTCCCAACTACAGTGGTGAGCAGCCTCCTTGGCTCCTGTGCTGAACAAACATGGTCTGCAGAGCGGTGTTGAATGGCACAGGAGGAGGTCACTTGGTCCAAACCACACTGCCATGAGCTTGTAGAGTGAACACAAGACAGACAACAGCTCCTTCTGATTGATGACTCTTCTAACACCTGCCAGCTCTTCACTGCTTGCACTGGAGACCTCACATC